TAGGGCCCCCCCCCCCCCCCCCCCCCCCATAAAGGGTGGAAAAAATTAGGCATGCAAAACATGGGGCCCCCCCCCCCCCCCCGTTTGTATTTATTTTCTTTTTCCCCGTTTGCTTGTTTGTTTTGTAGCGAGAGCCGGCCCCTGCTCCGGTCCCGTTCGCCCCTGAGGAGCGCACGATCACGCAGCTCGTGGAGATGGGCTTCACCCGCGAGCACGTGCTGACGGCGCTTCGGGCGACGGAGACAAACCGGGTGGAGGTGGCGATGGAGTACCTCCTCACACACCCGGCACCCACGCCTGCTGGTGAGATGCCTGCGTCTAGGGAGGGCTGGCTGCCTACGCTAGAGAGCCAGGGAAGAAAATGAGTTTATCTATGCAGTAGAGAGGCAGGGACGAAATTCCTTCTTTTTTTGTTTTTTGCAGATTCTTTGTTTTTGCTATACTGCCATACTGCCGCCTTCTACGTTGCACAGCCACTGCTGTCCTTCATTCTTCGCACGCTCTGTAGCTTCCGCTCGTTGCTCGACGTGCTACGCCACTTTCGCGCTATCATCTCAAATCTCAAAGGAATGACGGGGAAGGGGGTTCGCATTTCTCCCCCTCGTGACCCTAGGTTGCCGAACAATTAATGAGCCTACAATCCGAACCTGTTCCGCCAATAAATAGCATGTTCCACTAATAAAAGGCATTTCATTCTGTCAGTTCGAACATTTTTTCCTTTTATCTGTGAAATAGAGAGGCAAGGGTTAGGTAGACCCTACCCAACCCTAACCGAAGCCACCGAAATTTCACCGATCCCATACTTCATCCAATATGTTTGCTTACGAAAAGGCCGCGTAGGCTGGTAGCGGTAGTTTAAAACAGCAGATACGTGTGCACATTATGATAATGCATATCTAAGCATGTCCGACGTGCCCAAACCGTTGCATCTCCGCCTTGAGGCGTTAGTTACACCAAAGCGCACGCCCCCAAAATCTCACAAACGTAACCCCCTCCCCCCACCGTTTTATTTTTGGTTTGGGCTACTACATCACGTGCTGCGGTCGCTCAGCACCGGCGCCCGTGGCCGGGGGCCCCAGCGGCGCAAGCAGCGG